TACTCCTAATTTTAGTTCCTAGGAAAAAAGCGCGTTTTGATGAAAAATCTTCATTTACAATAGTGTCTATTCTGAACTCAGTTTTATGGATTCTGACAATATACCCTTTTTCTTCATGTGTACATACGGGGTAATGCCAGGATTTGCGTGCCCATATTCAGCGCAGATAGGCTGCAGCTGGACGCGGATTCCAACGGGTGTAAATAGTATACCATGCATTCTGATGTCCGGCCATTTACACTGAATTTTTGGCCGAGGGCTTTGTTTGGCTCATGGTGTGGGTTAAGCGGGTTTGATTTGGTTTTGCCGCCACTAAGTCAACTGATTTGTGTGCTCCATGAATGAATTCGGCTTGCAAGGAAACCAATCGCAAATCAAAATATTGGTATTTGAAATAAAACGTAGCTTTTGACTCGGCTGGGGCTCGAACGCATTAAATCAATGCCTAATTGATTGCTGATTGGGTTTGCCGTTTTTCACACACCGGCTGAAAATTTAAATAAAAACGTTTGGCAGATAATCTTTATAAATACGAGAAAATATTGGCTGCTTTTATGTTTCCAATTGTGCTTTTTTTTGCAATAAATTTTGAGTCTCTGCACCTGTCACAATAAAATACATTTTATTTTGCTCAACGCTTTTGCGAAATGAAATTTTAAGAAAAATTTCAAACACCGGTTAAATTTTGATACGGAATTCATTAAAGCTGGAATTTTTATTCAATTCAAGTTAAATTTCTTGACAGAATGACTGGCCAAAGTGGCCTTAACCCTCAACCTTTCTGCTGGCCCGTGGCTGCTTCATTTTTTGCTAAGCAGCCTGCACGAAATGCTCATAATTTGCTTGTTTCTTTGCACTTGAATTGGACGTGCATGTGTGTTGTTTTGAGCCGTGTCCTTGCAGCTGCGACACTTGTAAAGTCGTTTGCTTGGACTGTGCAAACAAAATGAGCGAGCAGTAAAGACTAGTAAATGCATTAATGGATGCCACCCAAAACGCTTTATCTCCTCAGCCCGAGCGAGTGGGCCAGGTGCTCTTGACATTGCCCCGAGTGAAAGGAGGCTTCAGTGTTTACAGTGCTGCGACATGGCGAATGCTTCAGCCTGGAGAGTTCTCTCGTCCTCGTGCTCGCCGTCTTTGATTGCGTGCTCGTCTCGCTGGGATCAGAGCCCGTGTGTATATACATAGATATATAGGTGTGTGTGTCCTGTAAGTGTGGCACATATAGTGGGGACTCGTCTTGGGCTCGTTAAGTGTCGCCTCCTTATGGCATTTCATGCTATTTTAAATGCATTTGAATAAATAAACACTCGCACGGTCGTAAAATGTTTATTACGTGGGCAAATGTTTGTGTCTGGCCTCATTAGGAATGGAAGCCGAGGGTTGAGGGTTGAGGGCCGAGGGACAGTGGGAGTGCGAGTGCAGCAAGCGACAGTTCGCACTTAATGCATTTTTAATTTAAAGCCGACACCGTAACGCACATCACCAAGACGTTCGAATTGCACCGAAATTGCTTTAATTGAGTGGATTTGCATGCGAGATGCGCTGCAAAGACAATCCGATTCAAAGTGCTCCCGAAGGCAATCCATTGGCACTCAAGGTGTGGCCAAGACTCAGCCAAACTTTTTTCCCCGGAGTGAGAAAGTGAGTTTTAATTGATTGCCCATCAATTATGCACATTGCGCGGCGCACGTGCAGTATGCGTGATATTTCACTTGCCCTTTGATTAACTCACAGCTGCAAATATTTGCCGGCAAATCTGTTTAAATGTTCGCCCCCAAAAGAGTAACGAAACTATTATATTTGCATACGACCTGCCCCAGAGTCCTGCCCCCGCTTTCCTCTCGCTTCGACTGTCAAATGCTGAACAAACATTGCAAAGACTCATGTATCTCGACTTCAGCTTGACACTTTAAGTGGAAGTTATGCAAATAAATAAATGTAGATTGACTTGACAGACAGGGAGATATATAGATAGAAGGACACAAGCAGAGTGGGATGACAGTTATGGATGGAGTGAGGGCAAACATACAAAGCTAATTAAAGGATGTGTGCGAGAAACTTATTGACAAATGCCTCGAGTTGCCCGATTCTCTTTATTAAGCCACTCTGCCAACCCGCTGGGCCGCATAATTATAATGAATCCTTTTTGTCAGCCAACTTAACCCTAATTTGTGCCAGCTCGCATTATCCATTATCCCTGGGTGTAAACACATTGCATTTGCATTGTATTCCTCATGCAGGTGCGAAAACGGTTAAGAACCGACGGTGCAAAAAGTCGGCGGCTGTTACGTCTGCTAATTAAGCTCCAAAATGGAAAATGCCGTGGAGCCGAGGTGAAAAACTCAACTATTTCTGCATTGTTGCTGCGACTTTTGTGCATAAAGCCAAGGCAGATGCTGCCAGAGCCTCAGATTCATCCTCACAGCCATACGCACACCCATACTCATCCCCACACTCATTCCCACACCCATCCCCTCTCCATTCGAAACCCCCTTTTCCAGCTGATGCGGGCAGCTCGCGGGTTGTGGAAGCTTCAGCCCTGACCACATTTTAATTGGGCTAAGCACACGCCATGTGCTGCATGTGTGACGTGCTATTAGTGAAACTTTTAAATGAGTTAGTTAAGTAAAGCGGGTTACGTTATTATGAGTTTTTGGCTTGGACATTACAAAAGCTTGTCAGCTCTGCCTGAGCTGGGGCTTCCACACTCTTTCATTCTTCGCCTATAACAATATGTACGGAGCTGGGTCCTTTCAGGGGGGAAACATGGTTGGGGAAGGGGGTTTAAGCCACCTTGAGGTTGTATGTGTTGTAGTTCGAAATAAGTATGTTGCTTTGTTTTGTAATTAAAGTTGAGATTAACTTTGAAGTTTTTTTTGTGAGATGTTGAAAGGGTATGTGATTTGAAAATGCAAAAGTATCAAACAGATTGAACGAAGTGATTTTGACTCTTAATTGTATAGAGATTTCAACGTCTATCTGAAATTTTTGACAACTCAAATCATTTTATTTAATGTTGAAAGACTAGTAGTCGTTGTACAATTCTGTATTTATAAGTCGAGCTTCTGAATTTTGGTATTACTAAGACTGTATGTACCTACCGCATATCTTATTACAATTATGTAAATCTTAATTAAAGTCGAACCCTCATTACTGAATAATACAAAATTTAAATCAAAATGGTTATTCCTTTTTTTCTGTCACGAATAATTTGCGAATTTTGTTGAGATCAAAAAACGTATCCCTTGTAATAGTTTTCCGTCACGAAAAATAGCTGGCTAAATTTAATGCAAAATGTTCTATGGTTTTATACTCGATATTATATTGGCGCAAATATTATTCTGGTGATTATTCGTCCAAAGTGGGCGCCATCAATTTTCAATTAGTCGCATGCAATAATTCCGAACACATTTCTTGAAAGGCAAAAAGGCCGTTGGTAATTATTGCAAATTATATGGCACCGAACATTTGCGAATAAATGCGAATGTGTATATACGAGGATTGCAGTCATGGCAATCGAAAATACTTGAATACAGCAAAGGAATGGAATGCGGCGTAAAGAGCGAGATGAAGGGAGGGCGAAAAAATATTATTCAATTACGCGTCATATCCAGGACAATGGTTACGACGAGCATAAAAGCCGCCTTGCCATAAATACACAAAGTCTCCCTTTCAGTCAGCCTCCAATGTGCTGGCCATAAATTGAAGTAATAACAGTCGTGTGGATCGCGGGAATACTCATAATAGTTTCGACCCTTACACGAATGTTTCAACTTTGATTTTCGAAATTAAATCAATGTATAAATGGTTGTCCGGGATCGGAAATCGCATGGCATTCCGGCAGAAAAAGAAACAGAATGCCACGACATTTCCGAGAACTCCTTCATTTATTTCCTCCTTCGCACATTCCTGATTGACTAGAAAAATCGATAGAAACCGTATGCATCAAAAAATTAGCAGAGGGGGACTCCCCGGCGACTTTCACCTGCGGGGTTGGACTGCATTGATAAAACGGCCGCCTGCCCACAGGTCATCCCGAGAAGGAAATTTACATAAAATTCAAATAAAATAAAACGACGAACGTAATAATCATTAGTCGGCTCTCCTGGGTGCAGTCGACACAGGACAGTGGACAAGATGCCTGCAACTGGGAGTTTTGCGTGGGGGCTGACTTATTTATGGAGTTTCCATGTTAACGAGCCACTCGCAGAGAATTAATTTAGTCTCTGATAAATATTACCTGTGGGTCGGCCATAAATTTGAGGCAATTTAAGATATTCAAAGGTTAGCTTGACTTTAAGTTAATTTTTTAAGGAATTGTAAATTCTAAAAATTTAATTTACCTCGAAAATGTTAACATTTAATTTACAAATGCAAATTCAAAGCAAATTCATCCCGACCAGATGGCGTCACTTTCAATTAAATTGGTGCGAATAGCCCAAAAAATATATGGCGCCATCTGGCGTTAAGAAACCTTATCGCTGGAAATGACTTCTTTGTCTTTGATAATAACTACTGATACAATTTTAAGATTTGGAAACTTTTCTGGTGTGTAATTGTAGGTGTAAAATTGTGTAACATTGATAAATTCTGATCAAACAATTGTATACCACCCAAAAGCATTTATTTACCATGTCTCTACAGAATTTCACTCTTTTTGGCAATCGGGTGGGTTTAATCTAGAATCTGCATTTTTTGTTGTTATTCTCTAGCTTTCGACGTTTATACGGACAGATGGACTGGCTAAATTTACTTGGCTAATAATCCTGATCAGGAAAATATATACTTCATAAAGTCGGAATAGTCTTAATTTATCTGTTAGATACTTTGAAAGAAAAAGAATATGTTCTATTACACTTCAAGTAACGGGTAGAATTGTACAAAACCCGGTTTAAATACTAACTTAATTTGATTCTGTGAATTATAGACTTGTTAATGACTAATTAACATACTGCAAAAGTTTACATGTTTAATATTTATAAAGAGTTATTTACCTCTTAGTTTCCAATCCACTCCTGCAGAGCAATCTTCTGCTGTTCGATCTGCTCTCCCATTTTCTGGGTCATGGCGAACTGGATCAGGATAAGCAGGTAGTTGACCAGAATCGTTGTGAACTGATTAAATAAAATATGATAATGTTATTTATTGTAATATTCTGCATAGTACCCACCAATCCGATAACCCGACGGTTCAGAACGACATCGAGGCCACTGGTGAACTGGATCTTGGCCTGCAATTGCCACGTCATCAAGGATTTGACCAAGGGACGCAGTGAGGTCTTCTGGGGGAACCAGTTGTCCAGCTGCTCCACGAGTCGGAGACACTTTCTAGCCTCGGAAATGGTTCGATCACAGTAGAAGGGGGCAATGAAGAGCTTGTAGAGCGGTGGAATCATGCAGAGGGCCACGTATCCGAGCATTCGACCGCTACTCCCCTGCTCCTCCTCATCCCCCTGCTGGCCACCCCCGCCCCCGTCGACTCCCACGGACTGACCGAACAGCATGAACAGCTCACTGGTGCTCATGGCCAGATCGTGGGCCATGGCTGACCACAGACTGAACGCGTAGACTCTGTTGATCTCCTGGACGAGGTAGTGCAGCTCCTGGACCATCGCCACCACTTGGCGTATACGCAATTCTCGGACTTCCATCTGCGGAAACCGCCATTCCAGAAACTTCGGGCTAAGCAGCTGCTGCAGCAACCGGAAACGGATGCCCAGCATTTCGGCCAAACTCATGTGCACATATCCCGTGAAATGGGGTCCCCCGGTGACGATCGCATAGCTGATAGCGAACAGTAGAAATAGAGCTCGGTGACCACTGCCCAACTGGATGGCGGCACAATTGATAGCCGTTAAGTAAATTAAGGTAACCACAGCCAGCAATACTATGTTCTTTCTCAGTATCTTCCTGTAATTTAGATTCGCTCCAAAGTCACTTATCAGTCTGGAATCCAAGGCAGCCAGTCTTAGATAGATAGCCAAATGCTTTCGTGCTGCTATTTGCAGTGATAACACAGTGGCAACAAAAACAAAGGTGGACATGACCAATTCCAGGACTGCAATGCCCAGAACCAAGCCATGGGCCTTCACCAATTGTTCTCCTACATCCTCGGCCGCTAAAAGGACGCTCAGGGAGCCGAAGAGACCCATTAGTGCCATAATGGCCACTGTCAGGGAGTATACCCTCCTCCATAGACTGATCCTGAAGAGCGGTCCCTGCTTACTGAATCCCGTGCAGCCCATCATGAACTGCAATCCGCAGATGAAACTAGCACAATCGAAGACCGTTTCCGGTTCGCGGAAGAAGTACAACACGGCCATCGCGCAGGATTTCTGCAGTCGAACTGATGATTGGGAAGGAACATATGATTACTCAAATTAATCCAAACATCCGAATCACAAAAGGCAAGGTACACTGAAAATTCGGCCATCGAGTTAAGCTCTTATATTATAAAACTGGCTTACAAGTGATAACAATAAGCCAGTATCAAAATTTATATATAAGTAGTTAAGGATCCTAAGATATAAAATGAGGTTAGTAATAACAAGAAACTTTATTATAAATTAGGTGGTCTTAAAAATTAAATTTTGTTTATGCCAAAAAAAGTGTTTAAAACAAAATCTAACGCTGCAACCCACAAGTAAATTTATTTGGGTTAATGTTAGAAAATAAATTAATATATTTAATACATTAAATATTAAAATATTACTTATGTTAAGGGTAAACATAAAGTGCGTACTTTTTGGAACTTTTACAAATGGGTTATATTCATTAAAGCAATCTAGTAATTACCTTGATTACTATTGTGATAACTTTTGACAAGTGCCCTTTCCAATTTATGAACAATTTATTTTGTCCGACTGCCTGTGGTAAGCAATCTCGGTAAACGAGTAACCCATAAACATGTTTTGAACATAAATTAAAAAGAAATTAATTCGAAGGTCGTGTGTCCCGACTATTCAGTACCCACTGCCTTGTTTAATATCTATTGTATGGTTTTTATACCCGTTACTCGTAGAGTAAAAGGGTATATTGTATTCGTGCAAAAGTATGTAACAGCTAGAAGGAAGCGTTTCCGACCCTATTAAGTATATATATTCTTGATCAGGATCACCTCCTGAGTTGATATAGCCATGTCCGTCTGTCCGTCTGTCTGTCTGTCTGTCCGTATGAACGCTGAGATCTCGGAAACTATAAAAGCTAGAAGATTGGCATTTTGCATGTAGATTTTAGAAGTTCCTACGCAGCGCAAGTTTGTTTCAAAATGGTGCCACGCCCCCTTTAACGCCCACAATCGCTTATATACGATTTTAAAAATTTAAATATTTCGGAAAAGCAAAAATGCAGTTTTATTGTGTTTATCAATACCTATCAAAATGTAGAAGAAATTCATTCAATTTTTCAAATCGGACCATTTGTTAAAAAGTTATGCGTGATCAAAGTTTCTATCTCCATCTCCCTCGCACTCCCTTTACCTGAGTAACGGGTATCTGATAGTCGGGGCACCCGACTATAGCGTTCTCTCTTGTTTTTAATTAGAATTAACCTTACCCCCAGAAGTATTAGGGTTGATCTAGTTTTTATGGTATCTGAGATCTCTAAAGGCATATAGACAGTTAAATATGGTTGGATCGAAAGCAAAGCAACTCACCAGTGTAGGAAATACCCTGTTTCGTTAGTTCTAGCAACCATTCTAAATGGGTAAAAAACGTTTTAAAAAATAAACGACCATTGGCAAAAGCTGTCTAACAAATTAATGGAAAAGTTTAATTTCAATTAAATTGGTTTTGTGGCCAGTTACTTGTTTCATAAATTTGGAAAATAAAACTGATGAAAATCGAATAACTTCATTTCCGCAGCCTGGGAAAACAGAGTGGTAAAGCAGTCAGATTAAATACCATAATCCAAGGGATTATGGCCAAGTTGGAAAAAGTTGTTAATGCCCGGTGACAGAGCTCAACCCATCGAACTGGGCCAGTTCGGTGATATATAAGGCATGATTTACAGCTTGCCAAGGAAGGTGAAATTAACAGAGATGTGGCCCAGTTGGGTGGACGCATTTTGTTGCCTTTAATTAATAAAACTTGATTAACGGAAATTTCATGATTGTCCAAATGGTAGCAGGTGGCAATCAATCATCGCCTTCGCCCGGCCACTCTCGCCGCTGTTAATTATTTTGCATTAAATATTTATGAAATTCCCGAAAGAAAGTCGCGCCAAGGGACAATTCAGCTGGCAAGAAGTGTAAAATTAATTAGGCTGTGTCCGGACGGAAAAACGTCAAATGGTTGCAAATGACAACCGAATGGAATGGAGTCAGTTAATAAATTGTTTGTTGCACATTGCGGTTCAGTGCACATGGACACAGACATAAATAAATTCGAACACGAAATTATTTATGCGCAACTGTTGATTTTCTGGCTGATTAACCTCTGGGAGCTTAACTAGGAAATAAATGTTATAAATGAAATGCATAAGCAAATGATGCTGGAATAATCTGAATGAAATGCGCCCGAAATCAGTTAATGGAAACTATTACCAGCAGTGGGGAGTCCCCGGCATTACTGCGTAGAGTAGTACTCTTGTAATTAGTGATTTTTTTGCAAATTGTATTTATTATTTATCGTCTTCCGCCCCAACGCACAGCCAGTAACATATGCATCCACATTTGCATTAACAATGGCAATTGTCAAATCCAATCGGATCCAATAGAATCAAATCGACTTGGCTCAAGGGCCGTAGGTCTGTACTTTTTAGGGTCTCCCCCGCACTTTTCCGGCCATTTGTCCTTGTCACTCGCCAACTCCTTTTCCACACACATCCTGACAGCTGGCTGACTGACTGACTGATGGACCGCCTGATTGACTCACTGAAATGTCCGAAAGTAAAACAACACCGGGTCGCAAAAAAGGAAATCACATCTCCGCCCATATGGATTCAATTAACGCTAATTTAAAATGCCAACATATCTGAAGAGGACTACCGAAAATAGGAAAAATTGAAAATTCCCAGTCAGTTTTCCACATGACCCCCATCAAATTTTGGTTGTCAGTGGTTCGGGTTTGACACTCCAAAGGGCAAAATCGGCAACAACAGAGGGGACAACCTTTCCTTGTCAGCCGAACATTCATTGATTGAGGGCAATAAGTGAGTCAAATCAAATTTTTAGTTTCGAACGTGTTAAAAAGGTTTATGAAATAGCCATGTTGAAGGGGTCGTTAAAGAGCTGTAATAAAAATATTATACTTCTTTTATAAAGGTTCTTTTTTAAAATAAGTAATATGCTTATAAATATATTATTGAGCTTCAGATTTCAACATTAGATTTTAAAGGTTTAAAAACTCTTTTCTTGTTTAAGAGTTTTAAGCTATTTTGTTTTTTTAATGGTGTAATTATTATTGAACTATAATGTCACAAATCTAATATGAATTAAAGAGTAATACTCAATGTACTTTTTTTTACACAGCCAGGAACAGTGTTTACCAATAGTTTAAAATTAAATATTTCAAATAAAGAGCGTTAAATGAGTTTTGAATGTGTTAAAGAGGTTTTTGAAACGCCACACTTAATATCCGTTGGAAAAGAAAAAAATATATATTTATTATTTGGTTTTTTTTTGAAAAATTTGTATATTGCACATTTATGAAAACTTAAAGACTTTAATTAATTGTTTTCAATATTTTTGTATTCAGAAAATGTATTTCAATTCCATAAAATCAATTTAAAGAACTATCTTTTTATCTAAAGAACTTAAATATATTTTGCATTTCTTTTGTCTGCCTAATGACTATTAATTTAGGGTGTCACAAATCTAATTTGAATAATAAGGTATATATTTCTTTCTCAGCCAGAAACTGCGTTTACCATCAGTTTAAAAGATGGCAGCCAAGTTGGTAATACGAGAAACCCATTTGTAGCCACTTGCCCGACTGAGTGCGTCCTAATGCCGCTCACAATTAAATTAAATAACACCATAATTAATTACTGGCCACGCACACACTCACGTCACTTGATTTGCTGGCCAAGAAGGTGCTAATGTCCGGGCCCATTCATTGTGGATGGTGTGCGTGGGTGAAATAAAGAATGATTTATGGCGGTAAGCTAACTAACGTTCTGTTCGAGTCCTGGGCGGACCACGCATGTTCTTGTTCTCACAATTAGAGTCTGACCTCCGTGGGTGAGGAGGAGGAGGGGGGCTGCCCCTTTCGAGGCACCATAAATCGCATCGTAAATAAAGGGGCAGTAGCACAATGGAGCCATCAACTTTTGATGCAACTTATAACCGTATTTGGCCATAACGACGCCAATGGGCCTGCATTGATTGGATATATCGAGCATCCTTTAAGCGGCGCCCCATCAACCGCTCGAATGTCCGCCCATCAAGGAGCAGTGATAACGCGGCAGTCGTCCTGCACAAAGGCGTTTAATGTTAACGAGCAAATGGCCCTGGAGTAAGTGCACTCCTTTCCTGGCGCTTTTATAAATTGTGCTGTGCATAAAGTTTATGCGAACATAATACGTACGTAGATATATGTATATATATTTATAGTCAGGGGTTATCATCGCGGCTGCTTTATCTTGCGCAGCTGCTGAAATATGCCCCTGTTCCTTCTGCGATGCCACCCGCTATCTTTGGTCCATCCTTTCCGCGCTGCATGTTCATTTGACGCGGTTCTCCCGCCACTGCACAGCATAAAATCCACTCAGCCGTGCCACATAAAACCAGCAAAAAACGGTGAAATTATGGTGCCTGCTCATTGTGTTGCAGCTTCTCACCTCTCGCGCACTCAATCCGCAACGCCTCGAAGTTGCAGAGATGCCCTGCATTCCACAGAGGCTGCTCCGACTTGGGTACATTAGTTCACATTATCCAAAAAATTCCCACCAGGCCGTCGACTTTTACTGCTCAATTACAACAACGCAGGAGTGCATCAGTACACAGAGAAAAATAATCATACAATTGCCAATCATCTTTAAAACAAAATAATTTTAATGGGTTTCATTAATATTTTGAATATTACTGGCCTTACAGACACGTATTGTAATAGGGAATGTTGTCTAATAGTAATGAGAACTAAATTAAAAACTTGATATCGAAGCATTGCAATATATCAATGGATTAGTATAAATAAATAACAAACTGAATATTTATATAAAAAAGTGATTAAATATATGAGGTATGAGAGAGTTATTTAATATATAGCTTAAATATATTTAATCAAAAAGATGAGTTAAAAAAAATTAAGTTTGACACGTAAAACCTAATAAATAATTGGGTAATAACAGGCTTGGAAAATTAATATATTTGATATTGATAGTTTTTTTATATAACTGTATTGCGCAGTGTTTTGTTTTTGTAATTCTTACTATTGTGCTATGGATTACACAAACAAGCATTGTAAACTTTTCTTTTAATAACAAATTGTGGTTGGCTTTTTGAAAACAAATTTTAATTATATAAAACCAGATACTTCCTACACCGGGGGTATGAAATTATTGGCGCTCCATCCCCAAGGAGTTGCCTTCGGGGCAGGGAATCTGATTATGTTGCAGGTTCCCGGGGAAACAGCAACTTTTCTTGCCACATGACGACTTGGCTGGTTGCTGGTTTTGGAGCCCAACGTGCGTCAAAACTGATTAATGAGCTGCAAACGATGTTATGCGCAACGCCCGCTGCCTTGGCATAAATCAGGAATAATCGGGCGTTCCATGGAGGGGGGTTCTACTGTATCTATATAGGGTGGATTGCCTTGCAGGCGCTGCATAATGATGCTAATAATGGTGTTGATGCGGCATTGTTCGCGTGCGCAGACAGCTTGGCATCCATCGCCTGCATTTCACTTGTTGCCCAGCAGCTGTTTCGCCTTGACACTTTTAATGTCCTCAAAAATAAAGACCAGAGGGAGTTGCAAGGCACTTCCATTATATCTTCAGCACCCACCCCCCTCCCCAGGGGGCCAAAGCCAGAAACTTCGCCGACAATTGGCAGATGTCAGCTTTAAGCCATTTTAAAAAGCAAATGTCTGACAAAGCTGCAACTAAAACTTTTTATGCGCCACTTTCCCCGGCCATTCACAACTTGTACGTGGCAAATAAAAGTGCGCCCGGGGACCGCCTGCGTATCGCTTGCCAAATGGGATAGACAACACTCCCTGCTCGGCTCTGGTTTGGCCTGGAAACAGATTTAAGTATGCAGTTGTAAGCCATAAAATCAGCTTAATACTTCCGCCGAGCCACAAAATCTGAATTTATAGTCAACCCAAGAGGAGCGCGCAAAAAGGAAATTCGGTTGAAGCCGTCGATTCTTGGGATAGTACCCCGAATGCCCTCATGTTTTGTTTTAAAAGAGTTTATAAGTATAATTTTATTGAAATACAGAAGCCAAGCATTTTTAAAAATGGTTACAAGTCCAACTAAAAAAGTCTAATAAAGATAAATGGCTCTGGAGTAGAATGAATATACATTAAACAAAAATATTATAACTTATTTAATATTTTCTGCACAATTTTGTCTCAAAATTAAATAAGAGATTTTGAATGGTGATGGTTACCTTTTACCTTTTTTTATATTCTCCTTTGTATAAACAAAATATATTTTCTTATTATAAATTTAACTTTATATTTTGTGTTGCCTAACATTTATTGTCCTTCTTCCCTCTAAAAATTTGATTTACAGCCCATTTCAAATCTTGAATTTTTTCTTAAATCTATTTTCAAAATACAATACACCCTCGTAAGGGTATCAGGGAAAAGGACTTTAAATAAAAAGTCAGAGTCCTAACAAGAAGAAATATGTTTCCGCTGTTACATAAGACTCGTTTCTGGTGAGGAGCACCTTGTGACACGGTTCGATTAGCAGGTCAGCTGGTCACAAGAATCTCTGTTGTTGTTTCGACTTTGATAAATGCAAATCCCGGCGACCTCACATCAAGTTTTGCTTTCGTCTTCGTTGCTGCTCATTTGCCAAGTTTCCATATTCATATCAACCAAAGTGAAAGTGCTTGATTAGCAAAAAAATAAAGAAATCTGCCTGCTTATGGGAGTATCGAGGCATAAACATATGTGTACGTGTGGAATGACTGATTGGCTGTCTTGTCGGTGATTAGTGTTTATGCAAATGAGTTCTAAAGACATGGCCCAGGCATATAAATCAATGCTGAGGTCGGGCCAAGTCAAGTTTCCTGGAGCAAGATGAGCAGCAGCCACAAGTGGACGAGGCTGCTCATGATAGGCCTGATTGTTCTTTTGATTTACTGTGGAAGTCCCATGGGTAGATACGATGATCCACCTAAACGAAGCCCATCAGCTAATGAATTTTTTCTTCTCACTTAGCAAGGGAGCTTAAATTGCGACCCCTGAGACTCGCAGAGGTTCGACAACAGGAGAATTCTCTGCCCCAGGGTCGATCCGTTTCCAGCGGCTTTGCAGCCCTCACTGGTTTTGCCCTGGGTTTGGGGAAGGCCCTCACTGGGGTCTTCATTTACGACGTCATCGTTGCCAATGTTACCGAGGCGGAAGAAAGCAGTGTTTCACCGAAGAGTGGTTCTATTAGGGAGATCTGCTTAAACTCAGGCGGTCCTAATTCAGATATAACTTGTATTGTTTACTATGTAAATAATTGAGAGTTAGGTAATCCATTTGATTAACTATTTAAAATCCTCCGCAAATTTATATGATTTCTTAAAAATAAAAATAGTAATTTTCATTTAATATAAATTGTATAACTGCTTTTATTTAGACTACTATTACTTTGATATAGATTACAGCCTAACAAATTTACACACCTGATTATTTAAATTATTTTGCTTTTAAAACTTATTTGGGTGGATTGTCAAGATATGCTTTTCAAAAATAAATAAATAATTGTTTTATTTTAACACGCAGACCCCTTTACTAAACGTAAATAATATTTCTTGAAGCAAGTTCAGACCCTCATTAAAGATCTACAAATTTGGAGTATCCAATAAACTTTGAATATTGAGTCGCAATATTTCGAGATTCGCTACGACTTTAAAACGAAGTCAATCTTATTAATGGTCCTAATAAAACCAGTTTTGGGGTCGCAGCTTTGTCAGGGGTCAAACCATTATTGTCTACGGAATTCGGGAATTAGCATATGCAAAGCTCGGAACTTTCTTTGGCTCTCGTCACAGATAAAAGTGAAGCAGAACCCGTCGGCTGTTTCAGTTGGGTTTCTACGCGATTACGTGAAAGGTCGTCGAGAAGATGAAATCGTTCGGGAATTTGACATGTGGCCTACTCATCCTCACCGCGTGTATTTTTGCCGGTGTAGAAGGTGAGTTGTGAAAGTGGAATTATTAATGTGAAGATGGTATCAAACGATCCTATTGCAACCACCGCTGGATTTTCCTGTATATTATTTATTTATGTAACATTAACATTTGTTTCATTTTGTTAAGATCAAAGAAGGATTTAAGGGTTAAAAAACCACAATTTTATTAAATTCTGGTCATTAGGCATTTTTATGGAATTTGTGTAACTGATTAATGTCAATTTTAAAACATAAGTTGTCATTGTAACGAAGAAGGGTTATAGCTGAAAAAAGGATCGTAAATTTAATAAATTACAACTCAAACTTTGATACATTTTTGTATATATTGGAATTAATCACTTGGCTAATTTTATTTTCCGATATCAATCTGCAGCTCGTCGCCTGGCCCTTCGTCCACTGTCGGAAAAAGAACTTCGCAAAGCTCTTAGGGAATCCGGAATAGGTGAGGATTCTGCAGCTGGAAAATCGGTAGCCTCAGCTTTGTCTGGTATCAGTGGATTTGCCCTGGGCATTACCAAAGGCATTGGCGGCTCCATTCTGTTCGATGTGGTCACCTCGAACGTGACCATTGATTACCTCACCAGCCTGCTGAGCTCCACGGCCTCTTCAACGACTTCGAGCAGCAGTGGAACCGCCCAGGAGGTCTGCTTCAACAGCCGCAGTGCCGATGGAGAGATTATCAACGGAAGGAGCAATGCTGATATAGAAGAAAGCGCAGATCCATCCGGCCAATGGAGACAGGATGGTTCTGGTACCTATTCTGATCTCGTTTCGTCACCTTCGGGTACTTCTTCTACGGGTTCCAGTTCCGGCAGTTCTGGAACCACCTGCATTGTCCTGTCAAAGGGATCTCGTCGCAGGCGTCAGTTGCGTATCCGACCTGGAAAATTACGTTCTACGAACGCCAAACGTCGTACTTCTCACGGCCAGGTTCTGAAAAAGTACCGCAGGCATAGGCTTTAAGAAAAAGCCAGCATAGCCCTACTTTAAGTTAACTTATTTATTGATTTTGATTAGTTTATTAAAATTTAATTGTTCCGTATTTCGTGGGTGGCCTTTATTAATGGTCGGATGACTTGGGGAAAATCTCGGATTGACATATTTTATGATTTGCTGACATGCACTGTGGGCTTCACCCAAAAATATTTTACGGGGGAAGTAAACTCGGCAACGAAAGAGAAATATTCATTCATATGTGACACACACGAAGGCACTGAAAGAAAAGGTGCTTTATTCGGCAGGGTTCGTAGGTGTCTGGTAAGAATTAAGGGCATGAATTCTTATGATCGAATATTTTTTCTCTGTGTGCCCATTTGCAGCGTCACGCATATCGCAGTGGCAGAATGGTTATTAATACAAACAAGCAGGCACGCAGCCTGCCACTCCCACTTCCCCTTCACTTCGCCTTCGTCCTTATGTAAACATTGAAATGTCATTGCCGTCGAGGGCAGAGGCCCGGCCACATAAATCCTCCTTGGCCACAATTTATTAACTTTAACACTAGCCGATGTCAACGGCATCCCCATCCCCTCTGCCTGGAATTCTCCTCGATTCCCGGTTATTGATTTGGATGCCAAATTTATGTGGTCAAAGGACCTCAGCCCAGAACTTTGTCCACCGAACTATTAACTTTGAATCTTCTTTCACGAGGAGCTAAATGCAATGTTTATGTTATTGTCTGATCCCAGTGTCTGTCAATGCTTGAGCAGGCGTTGCATTAGGGACCATTTATTATTTATGTTAATGCCTGGAATGTTCTGTCATGGTCGGAAAAAGTGGTCAGTGATTAAAGTGCGGCAGGGACACGACCAAACTCAAATTACCATATCTTCGCCTATTCAAACGGCCATTGAGACTATCTTGGAGCGTACATATGGTTTGGACAGGCGAAACTCCATAAAGTGAATTAAAGTATAGCAGAATATGGACCAAGTCGTATTGAAAAACAGTAGTTAAATTGTCTCTCTAATACATTTCTTTGTTATCTTCTTTAATGTTTTAAAATAAGAGCAAGCTAAATAACAGATGAACATTATTAAAAAAAATTTTCTTTATATGTTTGATGTTTGATTAAATGCCAGCCAAACCATTCTATAATGGTTTAAAAATTTAATTAGAATTAGTATTAGTGTTGCACTAGCAATGACTTTTTTTTCTAAATGAGACCATTTTACCTGCATGCTTTATTTATTTACATTAGTGAAATAATTTGAAAATCAAAATAATTATTTAAATACTTTTTTAGTTAAAATAATTTAATTTTACAAAATTGCAAACCGTTTTTAAATTCTTTTCAAACCTTCAAATTCGTCTTAAGGAAACACGACTGCGTGTTTGTATATTCATGAGCAAATCAGCAGCAAAACTACAATTATTGTGCACTTTGCCTTCGCAGAGAAAGCCGGCTTAATGACCGGGGCCATGACCCCAGTAGGGCAGTTGGTAAGCCACCCCCCACCCTCCCTCTAAGCCTTCGGCAGAAATTGCGTACTAAATGCGCTAAATTACTAACTAAATGCCGCAAGTGCCGCCCCTGGGCATGGTTAGAATTTCACAAATGAACGCCCTTTTCGGGGTGGCGGGGGTGGAAAATGGCCAGAGGGGTGTTTTTTTGGGCAGTAGTAAAGCCGAAAAACTGAAGTCAAAGCGAAAGCGAAAGCCAAAAACTGCCGACAGTCGATGACATTTGAGCGATAAGAGAAACTGTTGTGTGGCTTACTTGGTAGCTCCCCCAGTGATTTTCTATATTCGGGGGGAGGGGGGTCAGGGTTCGAGGGCAAATGTGCTGCTCCTTGTGTTTGTTGTTGGCATTAAGTATGCAGGCGTGTGAATTGTGAGCGAGGAAATACAAATAGTAAATGCTCCCCTTATTGCTTCTGGCCTTGGTCTTTTGCAGGCGCCTTTACAGTGTCTTTTTACAACATTGAAAATTGTTTTAAATGTTAATGTTGATGTTGCGGGGCCTGATAATAAAATCGGGCGAAAGTGTGCAAGCGGCGTTCCAAAGTCAACAAATAATTGAGATGTTTTGCAGGGGGCTGGGTGTCGTCACACACGCGTTTATTCAGCACCACCGCCCCCAATTCCACCCAAAATCCACCCACTTTCTGCTCCCCGGTGGCTTTGAGTCAGCTGTGAAGAGTGCTCGCACTTGTGTTAAATTATGCGGGTTTGATTTTTATTGCACTGCCGCTCATTTCTTTTTCCCTTTTCCGTTTGTTTTCCTTGCTTTGGTTTCCTTTGTTTTATAGGTTTTCCCCGAAGAGATGGGGGTCCTGGCACATCCTCACACCCGAAATCAAAATCATCTCGAAAGTATAAACAAGTTGGAGGACCGGAGTGAAGTGGCAAGCACGCGTGTGTGTGCGGCTGTAATTTGGTCATGCCTCGTTGCCCCAACGAGCTGTTGCTTGGCATTTCAATTAATGGCACTTGCCACCCTCGTATCTCGCCTCCTCCCACTCCTGCCCTCCAAGGGGTCATCTCATCCGCCGCTGCACTCCTAATGAAGCCATATCCAGCTCCAGTTCCAGTTTCGTCGCGCGACCCAGGAACACAACGATAGCTCCCACACCAAACGGAAAAGAAGGTTTTCCCACTTTTGGGTTGTTGTCAACAGGAGTCGAGGTATATCTAGACACTAGGAAAAATAAGTTTCTCTCAGTTATTGAAACTGGATTGATTTTAAGCCAATGAATCCATTGTGTAGTGCAAGTGCTCGATAAGTATGTCTTATAAAAACTACAAAATGACAAAAATACTACCAATTCTTACAAATTTTAAAGATATGGTACAAATTTGGCTTGAATATAATGCTAAAATCAGATGATAAATTTGATTTTAGTTTTTTCATGTACTAATTAGTATCATAAAACATTAATTATTAATTTAATTAAAAAATTGATATTTTTAGAGCTTAAGCCAAAAAACTTAGCACAAAAAATGATTTATATTTATAACTAACACGCTATTTGTACTCTTAATTTAATAGTTACTAAATTTATGATTTTGTTTCCATTTTTTCAGAAAAATATCGAGAATTATCAGTAATAAATAATGGGATCCTTAACTAAAAACCATGACTCGCACAAACACTTACTGTCTGCTTTTTTTTCGAGTGCACGATTGCAACTTCGCGGCGACACGTGACCGCAGGGACATCGGTTGAGCCTGAATATGCCGCATCGCACGTCTTAATAGATTTTTGATTTGTTTGTTCACCCAGGCCTCATCCTCCCCTCTATTCCGGATCCATATCTGAGTCCAAATCCAATTGTGAGCCGCGCGTGCGTCTCTGATTGGAATAATGATTTGGCAAACGAACCAGGAACATAAACGGGGCCAGATTTGTCGAATTTTTGGGGAGTTACTTGTTTGTCAATATAGAAAATCAATACGGAACATTTTCTTATTGTTTTGTCACTACCCCGCCGTTAAAGCAGCCGGGTGATTCAATAAAGGAATCACGGGAAATTGGGGGAACTGGGCTTCTGTTAGGTGAATTGAACGCTCAAGGCTCCGAAGAGGAAGATTAAAAGCGAGACCTGAAAGTTTGTCTGTTCTTCATTTCTGGCGAAGGAAATGGGTATGGGACGGTATTGGGCAACATTTTACAAATTGTTTCAATTAAAAAGTTTACTGATTTTGCTTTTCGCCTTTTACTTTATCTATAATCGGCTTGCGATTGACACGTGCCCCCGCCGCCACGCCCCCTCCGCTCATCACGGTATATCGTCTATCGAATGGAAGTAATCGCTTTCGGGGCGCTAATTGCGGCGACCTTGGCTGTGGGGTGTTTATAAGTCCGCAAGTTGATTGCATAATACTCGAACTGTCCGTCCGAATTGTCCGACTTTGGGCAGTGGGCCAGTCGTAAGCTGGGAAAGCCAAAAGCTGGGCCAATTAATTAAATATAATCAGCTGGAAAAAGTTCGGTCCACTCTGCAAATATATTTCACAGTCGCTAATTAATTTAATTGATTTAAACGCTTCGGCCTGACCAATCGCGGGGAGGTCAGTGGGGGCCACCGAGTGCATTTGATCTGTTTGTTTGTTCAAAATTAAATTGACTTGTAATTAAAAGTTTCGCAATTGATTGAAATTCTCGTGTGTGCTTTTTCTTTGTGTATGTGGCTGGAGGATGAGTCCCAACAATAAAACCGCCGAAGGGAGATAGAAACAAAAAAAAAACTGCTAATTACTAGCATTAATTAAAAATGAATTTTTTTGTTGGTCAATTGAACTGCTGAAAACTTAGAGCAGAAACTACTTTCACACGGGGAAGTTTTCTCTTCATCCTGAGCGAGTATAAGAGCGAACTCTTATACGGCGTCTTAACTGACCTACGCCAGGATATCTTCCCTTGGCTTTTCTCATTGCTTAATAGCTTTAGATATTGCAAAAAATAGACTTTGATTAAATATTGCATTCAGAAGGAAAGTCTAAAAAGTTATGATTTTACATAATTTAACTTAAACATATATATATTCTACTTTGGAGCAAAGCATATTAGCAGATTAATTTTTTCGGCTTGATAATTGATTAATTGAAATGCAAAAATTTTGCTTTTATAGCTCCCTCTGCGTAGTACCTATTTTTTTAATTTGAAATTTTTTCAAATAGCAAATATGTTTTGGCTATATTATTTTGCTATTTTATATCAGGTGAATAGCAAATATTTTGTACGATTTTTCAAGAGCAGGGCAAAATAAATAGTTGGTAATATTTAATTAAAATGTCAAAAATTGACAAGCCACTACTTTATTAAAGTGAACCGACGCGTGCAAAATATTTCATTTACATGTTGAATAAAAACGCCTACAAATACTTTATTAGCTGTTATCCAACGAAAGCAATTTGTGTACCAGCTAAATGTTAAATAGTCACTTTCAAAAAATAATTTATAAAATATAACCCATCAAGAGCAAAACATATAGTTGTACAAATAAAGGTAATGAAGATAAATCAAATATCTTTCATGCGTTGCGATGCAAACCCTTATCGCGTAAACAAATAAAACCTAAATCAAAATTCGCAAGGTTAAAATTAAACCGCATATGTGAAAATTACCAAACTTGTGTATAGGAAAATAAAGACTTATTTACAAATATTTCAATGCAGATGCAATAACGGGTGAGTGCCTGGCAATGCACTTGCGATAAACAAACAAAGAGTCTTAATAGCTCCACTCGAAAGTTTCTTGGCAATTTCGTGCTCCAATAACCCGGCCGAAGAGAGCCTTTCTCTTCCCGCTCTCTCTTCGCTCTTCGCCCTTAGCTCTTAGCCCCTGGCCGAAGCGGGCCGAGTGCCGAAGTCAGCCGAATGTGGGGCATTCGTCATTCCACTGGCTGCACGACCTCCGATTACCAGTCAGTTCCATCCTGCGACTCGAAAGCGAAGCACGCGTTCCTTGATTTATGTGCGCGGGTTTCTAGCCAGATAAATTGCCAGACTTGTGTTGTGTGGAGGGTGCCAGGCCTAATGAGTCGACGGGCCTGCGTGTTAATGGCGAATTAATGACGGGCGATTAAAATGCAATAGCCACATGCATGGGCCCCAGTAATGAGCTGAACCAACCGCCACAGTACAGTGAACCAGTGCTATAAATTAGAGTCCCCCTGAAAAGTGTTGCCTACTTAGCGGCTTTTGGGCTTACGATCTGTTGGAAGTGTTCGGAGCCCCTTAAAACCTTTTACTCACTCACCCCCTCGCCCACCAAATAAAAGTTGTGTAAAACGGATTAGGCAAAAAAAACAGCAGAAAGACCCCAAAAAAAAAGAAAAACTCTCAGTGAAACCGAACCAAAAATAGGACCAAGCGGAGAAAGCACTTTCATTGCTCCCCAGGCAGAGCTTAGCCGAGAGTTGGGCCCGGCTCTAATTTGACGGAATCGTTAGTTGACCAGCCAAGTCCGCCCCGTGCTGGCGGATCGCGTGCCGACTACAAGCGTAATAACAATAAACTTGCGGATAACAACCACAGATACAGCAGCAAAATGTCCCTGCCATCCAGAGCCAATTTCGGATTACTCAACTGGCTCATCGGCTGGCTGCTGCTGCTGTCGATGGTGCTGCTCAGAGGTGAGTCGTCGGGCTTTTTAATTAAATAATCCAATTTATTTTCATTTAATTTATAATTAAATTTAATTTGTTTGCGCCAGGCGCTGGCTGTTCTAATTGCCCCCGCCCCATCGACTTCCACCCAATGGCCCACCGTAACCCTGCTCGAAGGTTTTCCTTTGTCGCCTAGGATTTCCCGTCCAATTTCCGGAAAACAAGCGAGTCGGTGGCTGTGGGGCGGGGAGAATGCGAATTGAAATTCTTTAATTTTTGTGCTAAGAATTTTAATTTCGCTACAGAGACGGAAAAGTTTCCCCTTTTGTCTCTGTTTATTCTGGCGCAAGTCAAAAGGTGAAAGCATTTAGTGCCCATCTGTGTGTGACCCCCAAAAGCCGAGATCCCACAAACGTTCTGGCCAAATAAAAGCATACACAGGGGAAAACCAAATTAATGTTTTATTTTTAGATAGCATATATCTATCTACTTATATTAAAATTTCTTATTTACATTTTGTTTATCATTAACATTAATAAGGTGAAAGATATTTAATGTTTATATTTTGTATGTACACCATATCATTCCTACTTATAAATAATTGCAGCCAGTATATGTTTATATAAATATATCTATTTACTTTAAACTTACTTAGTTCCGTTTTGTTTACCTTAAACATAAACAAAGTATATGTTTAATGTTTTCAGTTTTTATGAGCACCATATCTTTATTATTTTTTTTTCCCAAAGTATATTTAAGGGATTTCTTAAGTTAAAATCTTCCAGAAAGTGACTATTAGAAAATACTTAATATATATTTTTAACAGACAGAAACTAAATCTATAGGGGATTGCGGCACTAGTTTTTTGGCTCTTGGCAGACTCCATTGTATTCGAATTTCAACATATAATAATAATTATCTTTGCTTAATTAGGATTAAATAGTATTCTACCGGATCGGATCGAATTATTGTTTATTAAATGAAATATTCATAAATAGCTCGTTTATAAATAACTTAGTATCTAGCATCGAAGTGGGTTTAAGTATCGGCCTTTAAATCGAACATTTAAGGCACAAAGTGTTCTCCAATCAAGAGTTGAATACTTAAATGCAGATGTGGTTTTTATTTCCTGTGCACTCATGACCCACTGCTGAATCCTAGTGTTAGCCTAGTCCTGGTTTCGCAGCCATCAAGGTTGGTCCAGCGACCATTTCAAGGGTCTGAGGATGAATGGCGAACCGCAGAGTGCGGCTGCCACATGCAACGTGCGAGTTAGCGAGTGTGGGCTGGGCAAACAGTTTCATATAATACTTTGCAACACTGGGCCAGAAGTCTCACTTTCAATGCATCAAATGGGAGGCACGCACAGCCACCGCATCAGAGATAGAAATGTGGGCAAATAAAAAAAATGGCAAAAAAATAACAAATACTAACGAGCTGCAGACACTTGGAAAATGCTGTTGAAGCTTGGTCAGGGCCGAAACGCTGCTGGCTGCAGTTGCTGTTAATGTTGCTGTTGATGTTGCTGCTGCTGCTGCGTTACATGTGGCATGTTGCAGTTGACAAACGAAACTATTGCCATTGGGTTTTGCTTTTCGGTTTTCAGTTTCTGGTTTTAGATGTCTGCTTGCTGGCTTTCAGCTTTCAATTTTCCGCTTTCCGTTCTGCAGCCCGCCGTTTGTCATTTGTGAAAATAGTAAATTGCATTTTTATACAATTTTCCATCATTTGCCTTGGCAGTTCTTCGTCTGGGCTTTGTAATTTTCAAATGAAATACTTTCCGAATGCAATTCACTTTTGCGCAAATTGTTTCCCTTGTCTTCCATTCCTTTGACTTGCTCGTCCGCCTTCTACTCGCCCATCCAGTTGGCCCTCTGGCATCTGTCTGGCCATTTCATTTGGGTAAAAGCTACTTGAAGTTGGTTAAGCGCAGACAAACAGAAATTACTCATCCTGGCAATTGAAAATCTGCAAAAAGGCAAGTAATCAAAGTGAATTCCTGGCGAATTATTGGGGAATGCATGCTCTCAAGAGTTTAAACCTTTGCTAAAGTGATAAATTTAGTTAAGGTGGTAATTATTATATGACAGATACAAGACACAATGAAAATAATTATTTTAATTAAATAATGTTGTTATTCTATCAATATGGATATTAATAAGGATATATATTCTGACCCACAACAAATTTATGTAAAATCATTTAAGGTGGCTTTGACTTTTCAAAGAACAAAGGACATGTTTATTATATTATATTATCATATTGAAGATGAAAGGATATTTTTACTAAATATCTAAAGAAATAAATATACAGGACTTTTTTTAAGCCGCATATTTGTAAAAAGCGTATGGTTTTATATTTTTATGTTGATTTGTGAGTTTAAATACTTTTTATTATTAAAAATAAAGCTCAATAAAGAGTTGAAAAAAATATATCAAAATGCCCTGTTTAAATTTGATTCTTCATGATTGTATCAGTGCCATTATAGATAAAGGCGTCAAATATTTTTTTATGAAACTTTTCAAGCTCAATATAGTAATAGTTAAAAAATTGCATTTGCATATCCGAGGATTGTTTTTATCGTAAAAATACATATTTAAATTTTTTACATTTGTTTTTGGACAGAGTTGGGCAGTTTGTTTCTTTTCCTCAAATTAATTGACAGGGTAAAACTCGATAAATACATGCGCATATTTCCATAATGAATTCATAAAACTTTCGACCGTGTCTTTTCGCGGTCTCATGTTATTTGGTTTTCTGGTTTATTAATAAATAAATTTTGCCCTTGCGGTTTTGCCGTTTGTGTGCGTGTCATGCTGTATGCAAAACTGCAGTTATTTGCACAGCTGTTTGCCATTTAAGGCAAACAAACGGTTTTCCCTTTTTCACCACATCGTTCGCATGTACCGCATTTTTTCCGAGTCTGTTAAGTATTTTTGTAAATATTTTCAGTGACGCTAAAAAGGGAAAAATTATTGATTGAAAAGAAAAAAAGATAATAGCTGACGTGATTTTCCGTTGAGTCCAGTTAATGCAAAGTTAAGCGATTGCGGGGCGGCTTAAAAATAATTGATTGCGGAGTGATTGGAAATCGGGGCAGCACATCATTCGGCGGTGTCAGACTGATGAATGAACTGGCGCATTGGCCCAGACAAATGCCGAGCGGCACGCACATTCATTCATTTCCATCCGCCGAGTTCTAAGGAGGCGCCCCAAAGTATGCAAAGCACATACTCAAGGGTTCGCAGGATCTATTCGCCGGCGGGTCCAGGTTACTCACACAAGCTCCGGGGAGAAAACCCGGCGTCTTCTTCAAGGCCGACACATGTTATCCACGATGGGTGGGCAGCGGACCAGATTCGTCTTCATATTTTTCAACACACATTCAAGGGGTAACAAAATACACATATTTTTTTTTGTTCCCAAAAGCAGCTTCAAGAAATAAACTTTCTCTGTTGTTGATTTTAATGGCATATGGCTTCACATGAATTTGTGATAAATGTGTGGTTAAAAGTTCAACCGGAAGGGCTCCAGACTATGTTTTGCATAAGGAGTTCAGAGAGGAACTCAAGGAGTGCCATTAATCATTTAATTGGTGACGGGCTTCATTTTAGGATGGTTGGAGGTGGAACAAGATGGTAAATTGCTGTTGCGCAATATATATATATGATACCCATTTTCAGTTTAAAATCTAATTTAAAGAAAACGGGCCTTAACAGTATTTATTTTATAATTCAATTTAATCACAAAAAGCAATAAAACAAACTTTTCACAAATAATCTCCTCGTATCCACAAAATGGGAAGAAACAGTAAAACTGAATTCCTGATTTAAGATTCATTACAACTTGAATTGAGTTCACTTCATTTATTTAGTATGAAAATAGCTTACATATATTTTATTCCCTGATTCTACGTTGTTGTCAAGCGAATTTCAGGAGTTAAGGTATTGTCAAATAGTTTTGTTAATTAAACTGCCTCTTCAAAGTTTTTCCAGAGAAAAGATGAAAAGTTGCAAGTTGCTGACATCGAAAGAATACATTTTTTTAGGCAAATCCAGGTTTTCTTATTTCGCCTTCGTTTCTAGGCAGGTCAAACCACCAAGATTATTTTTTTACCGTTGCCGTCGTAACACTTATGGATTTGACATTTATATGACAGCCAAGGTTTTTGTGTGTTATGTGTTGCGAGCAAGGTTGTGTTGTTGCTTCTCCGGCCCCTTGAGTGTGTGCTTTGTTGTTTTTAGGTTTTCGTCAGGAAAAAATATAAATGAAAATTGTTTTTATTTTGCCACAATGGGAGCTGGCTTTTGGGATGGAGTGGAGGATGTGCGAGCCAGTGCGTAAATACATATATGAGTTTTATTTTTGATTCACTTGGCACAGCGCTTTCTTGCAAAACTCAACTATTTCGGTCACGTAACTGTGGAGAAGAGCTGAGAAAACTTCGTCAGCCAAGCAAGAAGAAAATTTATGCATTTGATTTGAACTAATTTTCAGAGTCCAAGCATGGCTGCGAATTGTTTTGTTTATTGTCGGCCAAATTATATGCTGACATAAATTAGCTGAAACTGGAGTGCCCCCCCATTGTTTGGCCTTTCTTTTACGACCACCAAACAGCCTTGAGCCAGAATACTCGGCTATTAAAAAGCACTCCACAATCGAAAACTCTTCACCAGCTGCGCTTTCTCCCAGCTTTTAGCTCGATTTTAAAGCCTTTAGCCAAAGTGGCAAACCAAATTGAACCAAAACATTCGCAGACAGACAGACAAGTGTCGTAAAAGGGATACACTCCAACTCGCTATAAGTTTCGTGGGGGGACTGGGTTGAAGTGGTGGGTAAATCCACAGGAGCAACATAAACCAGTTGCGCGGCTCTAAAAATCGTGTAGGCCTCAATGATTTCCCAAGTAAAATTCGTTTTATTAACACCGGGACACGTCACACGTGCTGGGGACAAAGTTTTTCTCCGTGGACGGAGTTGGAGAGCGATGCCGTTGCTGTTTTTCCCGGGGCGTGCCAGTAACCTAC